TCACCACTGCCCGACCCGCTGTTTGCAGCCTTAGTCCACCCAATCCACGTGGAGGATTAAGTAAAATAAAATTAAGAACAGTGGGGCGGGCGGTGGTGTCCATACGCCCCACTGTTCTTAGCCTTATTTTTTACGTGGGGAGTATCGGAGTATCGTTTTTTTTATTTCCCCACGTTTCTTTCACTTTTGCAGCTTAATAATAGTTTTGGTTTTCCTGTGACTTATTTGCAGTATGATGAATGGTAGGAGCATAAATATACATCCAATGTTTTGTTATTCTTTTTTTTTTGTTAATAATAAATTATGGGTTATTTTGCGAATATAATATAGCATCTCGAGTTTCTATGACGCTATCGACTAGTCGGCGTCGACTCGACTTTTTGTCACGTTAAAGTCGACTTTAAAAAATATGTAGTTGTTTAACTCCTAGTGTGTGTGTATGTGTGTGTGTGGTATCAAGGGTTTCAAAACAAAATACAAGAAAATTCTCAATAATTTTGAATATGGACGCACAATATAAGGACAACATGTGCTAGTGATATTAGTGTTGCGTTTATGATGTAGGATATTGGTTGCTATAAACCCACAAGCTTTATTTTTTATTTATTTATTTTATTTACCCTTTATATATACAGGTAGTCTCATTGACTCACGAGGACTCATTTTCAAGAGAGACCTGTTTTGGGAGCAGGTGGTGGGGGTTAAATGCCTTGCTCAAGGGCCCAGAGTGGGGCAAATGATGTGGAGGCAGGTGTGGGTGCTTCACCTTTCCCACTCACATTTTGATGTTGTCAGTCCAGGGAGTTGAACCTGCAACTTTCCAATTACAGGCCCATCTTCTCTAAGCTCTGTGCCACCACTCCCACAATATTCACAATTCTACTTGAGCTGGTGGGGGTGGTTAAAGGGTGGAGGGACCATCTAATTGCCAGTTTTGTATTATTTTGCAACTTTTAGAAATCATTTTGTCATATTGACACTGTGTGCAGTGATAACAATATTGATGGTCAAAATATTGTGGAGCTCTAATTTTGCCCGTATTTTCTAGTTATCTCAGGTCTTGTTCTAAACGTACAGAGCTGTGGTGACTATTAAACATAGAACAAGGAAAGCGTAATCTGAACACACTTCGTATTCTTCGTGTGGTCATAAACTGTTTGTCTGCTCATCTTGTTTTCGTCTCCATGAAAGGAGCGGATGGTCCATCTGGAAGTTTGCTCATAAGCACGCAGAGATTCTTTCTCAACTGCTGCCACCCTTTGTGATAAAACAAATGTCACTGGTTTTCCACCATGAACAACTCCTGCTGCGGCAAAACTGTTGAGATTTTATTTGTTCATGTTTTTTGCATGTTTCTGTTTATGACTGCTGGTTTGAACTCAAGTCATACCACACCGCAGTCAATATCTGCTTATTTTTATTATACTGAACTTTTCTCTCAAAATTTAATGTAGTAGCTTGTTATTCACATGGGTTGGGCATCCCTGAAAGCATCTTTTCAAGGGACTCTGTCTTCATACAAACACACACCTCCAGATTACAACAGCCCAATGTGTTTTCTTGTCAGCTTTCACGGCCACAGGATGACGGTAAATGAAAAGCAGAGGTGTTTCAGCTTTTCATGCTGCTGTGCTCATTCGTACTCACCTGATCACACAGACTCATGTTCGTGCTGCTGCTGTTCGGCGTATTGTTTTTTCACTACTAGTGCTTAGGATATTCTTACTTCATATCTTAGATCTTACTACCGTTTTTCTTTACAATGTATATTTTTATTGGATGTAACTGGGACCCTGTGTACACAATTTCATTCCACCACATGTACCACATGTGATGAGAATGACAAAAAACCTTGACCTTGAAAACAAAAGCTACAGTATAAAATGGAATGATCTTGAACAGTGAAGAACAGAAAGTGCTGCACTTCTTGAAGCATGCTGATGTTTGGAATCGTGATGATTCTGATCAGATGTGTTTGATAGACTCCGACAGGTTGAACAATATCATGTGGGAGTCAAACTGAATCACAAACAAACAACCTCACTCCCCAATTAGACACAACTAGACGAGCTGCAAGTCATTTACTTGATTCATAACATTCTTGGCCAAGATAAATGCAAATACTGATTCATTCATCAATAATTCATGCCTGCTGACTTCATGCAAACTCTAGCAGGTGTCCCGCTCAAGAGTGGTGAAGCACAATGTTCCACACCTCCGGCTTTCCCCTACATATACTCAGGTTTCATCCAGATCTTTGTTTTACTTTATAATTGTTATGTTTATGAGCATCTAGTTAAAAGGCTTGAAGAATACAGCAAGATTTAAGAGATTTTAGACTCAAAACCTGGCAGGACCTCTGTGTCGTCTAATGTGTGGTGCATCGCCAAAACATACAGTGTGTGGGTTTGAGGGAATAAAAGAGAACGCAACGTCTTCCACAGACGGGAAGAAGAAAATCTCATTTCAAGTGTTTGCAGCTCCAGCTCCATGACTAAAACATTAAAAGAAACGCACACATTGTGTGCATTAAACTACAACGAGGCAAACGGTAAAAACCTGCAGAGCCTGGCTCGTGCCAGCTGGAAATAAAAAAAAAAGAGCTCAGAGGAAATCTGTGCTCCCAGTTTAGTAATCCATGCTCTTTGGTTTGTAAACTGTGCAGTTTTAAAAACACACTTCATTCTGTTGGAGAGACAAAACGGAAGCGTTGAAATTCAGGACTCTAAATTTGAAGATCGGCAGCTCCTAAAACTAAACAATGTAAGACGAGTGATTAGGGAACAACTAAAATGTGCAAAACGTAACTGTTGTAGATTCTTGTTGAGGTTTTGTTTAATCAGAAAAACATGTTTGTTCAAACAGTTTGTTGTATTCAATATAACGTGTTCAGGTGTTGCACTTTGTAGCTGATGCACTGATTACTGTTGGTTTTTATTGTTTTTTGTCTGATTCCATTTTCCATTGTTAATTTATTTATTTTTCAATTTTTTATTTAATTTTATTTATTTAATTTGCCTGGATTTTTATTACTGCAGCAATGCAGCGTGGCATCGAGTCGATCAGTCTGTGTCTCTGCTCAGGTGTTCTGAGAGCACAGGTTGCTCTGATCGTGGCCTTCAGCTCTTCTGAATTGTTGGGTCTGGTGTATCACATCTTCCTCTTCACAATAACTCATAGATTCTCTATGCGGTTAAGGTCAGGCGAGTTTGCTGGCCAATTAAGAACAGGGATACCATGGTCCTTAAACCAGGTACTGGTAGCTTTGGCACTGTGTGCAGGTGCCAAGTCCTGTTGGAAAATGAAATCTGCATCTCCATAAAGTTGGTCAGCAGCAGGAAACATGAAGTGCTCTAAAACTTCCTGGTAGATGCTGTGTTGACCTTGGACCTCAGAAAAAAAACAGTGCACCAACACCAGCAGATGACATGGCATCCCAATCCATCAATAACTGTGGAAACTTGACACTGGACCTCAAGCAACATGGATTCTGTGCCTCTCCTCTCTTCCTCCAGACTCTGGGACCTTGATTTCCAAAAGGAAATGCAAATTTTACTTTCAGCAGAGAACATAACTTTGGACCACTCAGCAGCAGTCTAGTCCTTTTTGTCTTTAGCCCAGGCGAGACGCTTCTGACGCATTCTCTTGTTCAAGAGTGGCTTGACACAAGGAATGCGACAGCTGAAACCCATGTCTTGCATACATCTGTGCGTGGTGGTTCTTGAAGCGCTGACCAGTTACAGTCCACTCTTTGTGAATATCCCCCACATTTTGGAATGGATTTTATTTCACCATATTCTCAAGGGTGCGGTTATCCCTTTTGCTTGTACACTTTTTTCTACCACATCTTTTCCTTCCCTTTGCCTCTATTAATGTGCTTGGACACAGAGCTCTTAGTATTCCTTGCCCTCCTTGTGCAAGGTGTCAATGGTTGTCTTTTGGACAACTGTCAAGTCAGCAGTCTTCCCCATGACTGTGTAGCTACAGAACTAGACTGAGAGACCATTTAAAGGCCTTTGCATATGTTTTGAGTTAATTAGCTGATTAGAGTGTGGCCCCAGGTCTAATCAATATTGAACCTTTTCACGATATTCTAATGTTCTGAGATACTGGATTTGGGGGTTTTCATTAGTTGTCAGTTATAATCATCAACAATAAAATAAACATTTGAAATATATCAGTCTGTGTGTAATGAATGAATATAATATACAAGTTTCTCTTTTTGAATGGAATTATTGAAATAAATCAACTTTTTTTATGATATTCTAATTTTATGACCAGCACTTGTGTGTGTATGTGTATATATATATATATATATATATATATAGAGAGAGAGAGATAATGTACTTATACTGTATGCTTATTACAAATGTTGGTGTCCCAAGGCTGCTGAACATGTCAGTCTGCCTGATCCATGTGCTCTGGTCAGTCCAAAAGTTTGCTAAACAACCAGTGGACTGTGGAGTTGTTTTAAAAGACAAACAACAACAAAAGGGACTTTAATTTGGCTAGCCAATATTCTAACTTTTAAGCTTTATATATGTTCTCTGACTGACATCACCTCCCATAAAGTACTGACCATAGATAACTAAGTGATAGAACATCACTTCAGAAATCAGACAACACATTTACTTGGAATGCAGCCTTGAAACTTCTGAACACTAAAACAGCAAACTCCTGTAGGAAAATGTTTTTAAGTAGTCTTTTGCCCATCTTGTTCGAAAACAAAGACCTAGTACTGCAAGCACGAATTAGCCTCTTAACTATGTTGTATTCATGGACTGGAAACCAAATAAACAAATAAAAGAACAAATGTTAAACATCTATAGCAAAGATGTGCATCCTATTGTATTTTGCCAGATAAAGGAGGAGAAAACATCCTTTCTTTACTTTGATGTTTTTATTTCTGCACTTGGCACTAGCTTGAATCGGTTGGACAAAAACAAACAACAAAAAACAAATAAAAGCGATACGTATTTTAAAAATAAAACCAAACTTACCCCACCGTTGAACAGAAGCCTACCAAAGAGATGCCGAGCCTCCTCTAAACCACCTTCTAAATACACAGCTCCTGGAAGGAATAAAAGAAAGTGGATGAAGCAGCTCTGCCACTATTTATACATATTAAGTGCATTTACTGAACATATTATGGCAGATGTTTGCCACATTGTGTTACAACACATAGAAAACAACATTACACTACTCGTGAAAAAAACAATATTTATCACTTTTCAGGCAATTTCAGACCTTTTCTAATGGAAACCTTAAAATTAATTGAACCCGGCAATGAGTTATAATTGCTTTATTAAAAGTAGGAGTTCATTTTTATTGCTTTTTGACGATGAAATGACCTCGGGGTTCTGTGCAGATCCACCTCCCTCTTATCGGAGTGTAAAAGGAAGAGGAGGAGGAGGTGTTGCATCATACAATGGATGGAAGTGGCTAAGGTCACATAAAGCTCACGCCTGAATTAAAAGGTACACATTGAGCCTGCATCATGTTGAAGTAATACAAGCTATGAGGAAAACGCAGCAGGTTTGTGTTCAGACATATTGGAAACGAGTAGAACGTCCTCTCTGTTGCTCGCCTACACGCTCGGACATGACTGATCAGCACAGATGTTTGCCGAGGCTTGAATTGAAAGGTGAAAGAGAACACGTGTTATACAGATTGTGCATAAACCAACACATGCATGCAAAAGAAACATGGCAAAGGAAGAAATCTTCCAAAATCATATCTGTGTGGGAATAATACGCCGCCTTCTAAAGCTCGTTTCACAAGTCGACTGTCCTTTGTGCCTTTTGTTGTTTGGCTCTTCTTATGTTTTCACTAAAATCACTGGAACTATCATGGCACCTTAAAGCTGCACACAACTTCTAAACCATCACACTTAGGGTGGCTCATTCAATTTAGAAAGCAATAACCACCTGGCAAATTGGGTATACAATCGCGCACTGGTTTTTATTATGAGCATAAATGAGCCGGTGGAAATGGGGCGCGGTGCCGTCGCCAGTCTAAATGCGCAAACTGCTTTCATGGCTGACATCAAAAACATATGAGGGATTCATCATCTGAGGAGGGGAAACTGCTTTCAGATGGCTAACAGGCTATTTACCCACACACAGACACACACACGCGCACACACACAGGAATGGTGAAGATGCAGCCTACATAACCATGACCATAAAGAAACACAAACAAACTACCTGACACAAAGACAAACACAAATGTACTCCCACTCTGCCTGCCTCCACCGTCCTTTTCTTTTCAGATGAATGGGAAATTACTCACAGCTAAAGCTACAATGCTCATGAAATTTGAGTAAGTCTGACAACATCCACACACTCTCTGTGACTTCAGTAGTCTTATTACCCCTCACCTTCCACGCCACTGTTTTAGACTAGAATTGTCTTAAGTTGAGAAATGGCAGCCACTTTTCAAACCTTGAAAACGTTATGCATATTATTACGAGAATGTACACCATGAGTATGTGTTGTGACAGACTTTTAGCTACCATCACTTCAGACTTTAGCTCAGTACCTGTATAGGTGATCGAATTACGGTAGTTGCTACTTCGCAGTTAGACTTCCGTGGACTCGCTCTTTCGCAGTTTTCCAATGACCGTCAACTTTAATATTACTCACGTGATTGGGATCGTATGGGATTAAAAGTTAATGAAAAAATACTTTGGACAGGCGCCGCCGTTTTGTTTTCTTTCAACAAGTCTACACTGTAATGCCAGTCAAAGCAACTACACTACCCAGAAGCCAACAGTGCTTCCAGACACTGCTTTCTGCCGAAATGGAGGGAAAGTTTTGCAACGTAAAGTCAGAATTAACAATCTACACTAAGTTCACAGAACTGGCAGGAAAGTTGCAAATAATCCTGAAGCTTCCTGAAGCTCAATTATCCACGCGCACGTCAACCTGGACGGGGCGGCGGGCTTCGTCACTGCAGGGTACGTCTGCCGAACCGGAACCGAGCCCAACTGGAACAGAGCTGCTGTTCTGCCGAGCTGGTGAGTCAAATTTTGCAGTATTGTGCAGTACATATATTTATGTTAAAATTACATGGGTTTAAGAGTTTAGAACCTTGCAAGAGATCTCACGCTGCAGTTTTCAGTCATAATCATCTACTCACTACAGACTCATGTTCAGTCTGCTGTTTAATATACCATATTATTTTACACAATTAGTGTTAGCGTATATCTTAGACCTTTTAGTGAATTGTCTAGCATTCATTTAGTGTATATCTTAGATCCTTATATACTGTTTATTTTAATACTTTACATTTTTGCTATTTTTGGGTGTAACTGGGACCTTGAGAACATAATTTCTTCCCACCTCATGTACCGCATGTGATGAGACAATAAAACTTAAAGTTGTACTCGAAGAGTGTGGGAAGGGTTTCTAAAGCCTTATAATATATATATATATAAATACTAAAATAAATATAGCGTTCCTACTTCACAGTTTTTCACCTATCGTGTGTGGAACGTAACCCCCACAGTAATCGAGGGACTTCTGTGTGGCCGTTTTTATGTTGGTCAAGGTCGACTACATGGAAATGGGTTGTCACTATGTTAAAGCCATTTTTTGTGTTTGTATAGATCAGCTGCTGTGGCAGCCATCTTGAATCAGACTGACTCCAAAAGGTAAACAGATACATAGATCATCTAATGATTACTTTCTGCAAGTTGCATTTACATTTAACCAATGGTTCATGGGATATTTTGCTAATAAGCAGGCATACGCATAAACACACACAGACAAAAATGTTATCACCTGTTTTTCTCGTTTCAAAGGTTGGTGTTGAAAATAAAGTTAGGGGCAAAATAATGAAGGCAGCTTGAAAATTGTGGGAGGCTGTGTGGGTTTTATAAAAAAAAGTAATTTCCTGCCATAATTGTGCCTAAAAGAACGAGCCAGTAAATCAATAGCTGTGCGTCTTTAGCCCCACAAACACTGAAAGCCACTAAAGCCCTTGCAGATGTGTATCAGAAGCAATCTCGACAAGAGGGGGCAAACGTCTCGCTGAGGCTGACCACAAGCAGCTCAGGAGACGGGAGCGGTCCTTCACAGTGTGCTCCCACTGAGCAACAGCATAAGATTTGTGGTTCCACCAGAATGTGGACCTCAGCAGATGTTCCCTCTGGAGACCAGCTGTGGGAGGATTAAAAACGCCCTCCTACAACCAACTTCTGAATTTCTTCCACTCAAACTGCAAAGACGTGTGTGATCACGGAGACTAGGAGGAAACGGGTGGGGCCGCGAGCAAGTTTTCTTCATGTTTCGATGACAAAGCAAATTTGGCGAGTTCATCAACTGGAGTTGTTAAAATTCAGAGTCGCTCTTATTAGATTTTCAAAACTTGTTCCGAGTGAAATGTGCAGGCGAGTAGGGAGAAACGAAGCGAGCCTCCAGAGGTTTCAAAAAGGTATTAAAAATCTAAAAGCAACACCTTTGGTGTCAATCAAAGAGGCCTGCGGATGAAGAAACCGAGATGAAGTCTAGCGAGAAAACTCCTGACAAGAAGGCTGTCTGAGCAAAAAGTGCAGCCCAAAGCAATCCAATCAAACACACAACTTGCTGCAATCATTAAACGGAGATCTGTGCTGCTTCTCAGTCCACCCCATCATCCTGCAAAACTGCAGCTGACGCCCTGAATACACACGAAGACACACAGCCAACTCAACTGGTAATTATAGATCTCTCCACAGCTCATCTAGCAGTAGCATCATGCCCAGGCCAAATCGCTCTGTAGTCTCACAACTATGGCAGATTGAGAGCAAAAAGTTGAGGTTCCTGCCAGTGAAGTCAAAAAAAGAAGCTCCAACTGAAACACACTTGCTTAGAACCAACACCAATCAGGGATAACATTACCCCCCCGCCTGATACAGAGTTACCTCTTGGTCCCACTAAATGAAAAAAAAGAGGTGAATACGGATCAAATATGTAATCATAGCCAGAAGTAGCATTTGGAAAATATTCTCATGCTCAAAGTCTTCAAGCAAAAACAGATTTAGAAAAATCAACTAAATAAGAGCTTTTTATTAATAAATAATGAGGCTATTCAAATAAAAGCTGCTGGACGAAAATGAATGAATGAATGCATGAACGTATTTATTTATTTATGTATTCAGTTAGTTAGTTACCATATTTTCCGGCGTCTAAGTCAGTTTTTTGCAGATTTGTCAGTCCTGCAACTTTTACAACAAAGCGACTTTTATACTTTTTTCCATATTCACAACGCAACTTTTGACTGACACTTTAAATTTCAAAGAACTGCAACAGCAAGTCCTCCCATGTGCGCTCGCTTCACTCAGCTAGTGCAGGCGGAGGAATGCTGGAGAGCTAGCAACTCTGGACACGATGTACGGACGGATGGATGGATGGATGGTGCCATGCCGCCCAGGTGAAATGATGCTGTTTTCATCCCAAAGATCCAGTCCCCCGGCACAAACAGAGTAATATTGTGTATGCTGTTCAGTGTCAGGAGGGTGATCAGTCTTACATCGGGGAAACTAAACAGCCACTGGCCAAAAGGATGGACCAGCACAGAAGATCAACATCATCAGGCCAGGATTCTGCGGTCTACACTCATCTCAAGGCCAGCGGTCACTCTTTCAGGGATGAAGATATTCCCATCCTGGACGGAGAGGAACGATGGTTTGAGAGAGGAGTAAAGGAGGCCATCTTTGTGAAAAGAAACCGTCCATCATTAAACAGGGGTGGAGCCTCCGGGTTCAACTGTCCCCCTCTTACAATGCTGTGATTGCTAGTATCACTCAGCCCTCTGTGAACAGTAAACAGCCATCAGTGTGCTAATGATCCATTGTTAGGCTGATGGTCCTTCTTGAGCATGTGATCAGTTGGTTTTGGTTGTCAGCAGCAAAACTGGTTGATCCACTCTGAGAAGGTGCTATTTAAGAGACTGAGCTGAATACAGCACCTCAGACTGAGGAAGTCTCTTGGATGAGAGACGAAACGTTTCTACATTTTTTTGCTTTGTTTTATTTTGTTTTGTTTTTTTGAATGTCCAGAGGACCAGATTGAACTTTTTTTGGATGCA